GCTTGAGACGACGAAGTCGCCTAGCTGCGAAGCAGTCATGCCAATCTTGCTCTCGGCGGCACGTTGCTTCAGTCGCTTGTACTTCTTGGCGTCGTCGCGCGAGCGCATCGCGGTTCTGCCGTAGTTTTCTTCCTCCAGTTCTTCTTTCTCTTGCAGCTTTTTCAGCTGCTTCTGGTGCTTCGCGTACGCGGAGGAGTCGAGAACATGCTCGACCTCCGGCAAATCTAACTCGCTGGCGATTAGCGACTGAACGCGGTCAGACTGCAGCAGGTCGTAATCTTTCGCGGTGCGTTGCTTAATCTTGTTGTCGGCGCGCGGAGCGCGCGCGGCAGTTTCGCGACTTGCATCCTCCGCAGCAGACTCTTCGGCGTCCGAGCCGTCGGAAGCAAAGTCTTTCGCGCGTACATTGATTTTCGATTGAGTGCCCGAAGCAGGAGCGGCGGTTTTACGGGGGCCGTCATCTTTCTTGGCGCACGCCTTAGCTAATCCTTCGGCCAGTTGCAACAGCAGTTGGCGGCGCGCCAATTGCTGCGGCGGAACGACCTTGCCCTGTAAGCGCAGCAGTACGATTTCGTTGGAACAAATGGTGTCTGCGAGCAGGACGTACGTAAGCGCCGCTTCGAGAGACTGCGTGGCTGCCTCCGCAGGCACATCTAGCGCAGCGGCGCGCTCCGCAAGCTGCAGCGCGACTTCGTTGAGCTCTTGAAACACGGCTGGAACGACGCGGAGCACCTCGTTTACGCTCTGCTGCAGCTCTAATTTGGCTTTGGCCGGCCAGTTGCGGGTTAGTTCGGCGCAATTCATGGCGACTGCAGACGGTGCTCTCGCGCGGCTACTCGGCAATCCTGCTGCGCATTAAATGCGTATTTTTAAACTGCTCTATAATTAGTGGCGCTCGGCTATAGAACATGCCTCGGTTCTATGCGCTCGAGCTAGAGCAGCGGAAAATTTTTTTGAGTGTGCTTTTCAGCAACCTGGGGCGAGACGGCCACGAGTATCTCGTGACACTGTCGTCCAGCCATGTGTTCGTTTACTCAATTACGGAGAGTGGACTGCTGAACCTGATTGACAGCACTCCGACCTTTGCGCAGAACCAGGCGCTCACGCAGATTCGGCCGAGTACCGCTGCGCAGCCGTATTTCGTGCTGTTGACGGACAGCGGCGTTGTCACGGTTCTAGCGTGGAGTTGGCCGAAGCTGCAGTGGCGGCTGGTCGCTCACCGCGCGGTCTCACGGCCGGGCTTTCGGCGGCATGAACCTTGCGCGTTCCTCGACGTAGACTTCACGAGTCAGTTTTTCTTTTTGGCTTCGCTGCACGGGCGTGTTTCGAACTACTCGTTACTCGCTAACGTCGACGCGGAGGACGCGTGCAACACAGGCGCCGTGTGTTTTGGGGACATCACGCACTACGCGCCGCAAACCATGGTTGTGCGAGACGTGAAGTACTTGGACAACAACCTGCAAGACGCGTACTTGGCCGTGTTATACCAGGCTTGCGAAACGCACGCGGACGACGCTTCGCAAGCTGTGACACATCTCGGGCTGCTCCGTGTTTCTTCTGAGCTTAACGCGGTAGTCTCAGAGGCTGTTTTTACGGTCGACGTTAGCGCCAGCTTGGTTGTGCCGCTACGCCACGATGTGGTCGCGAAGGGCAATTTGCTATACCTCGTTTGCGCTGAGAACCGACTACTGCTGTACCAGAGAAACAAGTTGCTCCAGGAGCTGGAGCTGCCGCGGCCGACGGACGTGGCTGCGGAAGAAGTCTTGTTTGTCGAAAACTACGCCAGTCACAAAATGAAGTCATACTTGCTGCTGCTTCTGCAGTACAGCACGGGCGATGTGCTCCGAGTTGTATTCGGTGACCGCTGCATACAGCACTTTGTGTACTTTGGCCGCACGGCGCCTGCAAAGGCAATGTGCGTGGTGCCCTCGGGCTATCTGATGGTATCTAGTTTTGCGTGCGGCAACCAGGTGTACATCTTCGCGTCGCTCGGCGAAAACTGTGCGCCGCTGACGACCTCGCAGGCCACTTTCGCGCCAGAATGCGGCTCAGTTTTGTCGCTGTGCAGCAGTGCTAGCCACGCCGGGCCCGTGCTCTGCCGCACGATTAAGGACTGCGAAGGTGACGTGGCTTATCCGCAGATCTACTCAGGCGTTGGCTATCTCGGCCGAGCTGCGCTGGAAGTGAAAACGTTTGGCAGACCGTTGGCGGATCTTGCCGCGAGTAACTTGCCCGCGGCGTGTTCGGGCGTTTGGACGCTTCCGGAGAAGTACGCCGACACTTTCCACCGCTATGTGGTGCTCTCGTTTTTCGCGTCTACTGTTGTGCTCCGCGTCGGCGAGACTATCAGCGAGTTTAACTGTCCTAGCCTGTCGAGCACCGCGACGACGGTTTTCATCGGCGTGCTCAAAAACAACTTTGCGTTGCATGTGACGCGCGACGGGTGGCGCTTAATCTCGATCTCTGGCGGCACAGACTTGGTGCACCAAAGCTGGGAAATCGCGCCTGGCCGCCGCATCTTGCTCGTCTGTTGCAATGGCAAGCAGGTGTTCTTGGGCATTAACGCGGGCACTGCCATGTACTTCGAGCTCAACGAGCATACAGGGAAACTGGACTTGCAGTGCACAGCGAACCTGGGCACCGAGATTTTGCATGCGTCACTGCTGCCGGACTGCGAGGCAGGAGACTTTTGTCGCTTCGTGCTCGTTGCGGGCGTCAACGAGGAGGTCCGGCTGCTCGACGTGACGAGCGAGATGCGTGTCGTCGCGCAGTACGAGTTGCCGAAGCAGTACAGTGCGACAGCGCTGAAGCTGTACAAGCCACAGGCGTCCGCGCGTTTCGACTTGCAGGCGCTGGTCGGCACACGCAGCGGCGTGTTGCTGGTACTCAACTACACGCTGGGCTGCGACTGTTTCGAGACGGAGGTGACGCGCCATGTGGTCGGTTCGCAGCCTGTTACGCTGCAATCGACGCGCGCGGACTTCAGCTTGCTCGGCTCCGCTGACGACAAGTGCGACGCCGTGCCGTTAGACGCGGTGCTCGTGCTCAGTTCGCAGGTTTGGCTGTACTTGGCGACGCAGCATAAGTGCTGGTTGACGCGCATGTTTACGAAACACCCTTTCACGCTGGCTTCTTCGTTTCGCACGGAGACAACCGGCTACGGCATGATCGGCGTGTACGAATCAACGTTGCGTATTCTTGAGTACTCAGAGATCAACCTGGACGAGCCCTACCATGCGGCGTACCACGATTTGCCGCACACGCCGCGCGCGTTGGTGGTGCTGCCTCCGCTCCTGTCTGCGCTGGACCGGATGTCGAAAGCGGCTGCAGGCGAAGCGTACGAGTCTGCGCCTGTGAGCGAGAGCAGTCCTGCGCTCGTCGCAGTGATCGGTCACGACCCGCGCTGCGCCACGCCGGAACAGCTGGAAGCGTACGAGAAAGAGTGCGCTGAGAGCGCAGAGGACGCCGAAGCCGAATGCAGCGTGCAGCGAACGTTAGGCAAGGCTTCTGGGAGGGGTGCGCACGCGGCAGGATTCGTCGCACTGTACCATCCTTTGCGTGGCGAGCTGCGCTTGCGGAAATTCGCGTCGAATGAAGTGCCACTGGCGCTATGTGCATCGTCATTTCCGAAGCTTGACGCGCCCGGCCAGTTCATAGTGTCAACCGCTGTGAACCCCGACAGTGCGCACCTCAGCTGCGATTCGGCAATGCTTATGGTGTTCACGGCGAACTTCGACCTCGGTCTCACGGTGCACCACTCCACGCCCATTGAGTTTTGCGCAAAGGCTCTCTGCGCTTTCGGCGACAAGCTGCTCGCCGGCGTCGGGAAATTTTTGCGACTGTATGAGCTCGGCACGTACCGGCTTATCAAAAAGTGCGAGTACAAACAATTGCCGGTCGCAATCACTTGGATCGCTGTGCAGGGCAAGACGATTTTCGTGGCGGACGTGCAGAGCGGCGTGCTCGCCCTCGAGTACGACGAGGCGCACAACATGTTTTACGTAAAGTGCGAACAGCTCGTGGCCACGTGGCCAAGCGCTTCGTGCGCGCTGGACGAGTTCACAGTGGCAACGTGCGACAAGTTCTGCAACCTGGCTGTGCAGCGCGTTCCGCTGTTTTACGCCGCGACATTGAATCGGCGTTTCCAGCTGTATCGCAAAGAGTCGCAGCTACGCTTTGACGAGAACTATCATTACGGCACCGTGAGCAAGTTTCAGAAACTCGTCGACCTAAAGCTGCACGGCTTGGTGGTGGCTCTGCAAAAGGCGAAGCTGACTTTGGCTAGCGAGGAAGTGTTGGTCGCGACGGACGTCGAAGGCGGCGCCACGATGCTGCTGCCGATCAAGTCGGAAGAGCACTTCAACTTTCTACTAAAGCTGGAAAACGAAATGAGACAGGTTTACACGCCACTCTCAAAGAGCGACCACAGAGCGTATCGCATCGGCGCTTTCTGCGTTAAACAGGTTGTGGACGGCGCGCTGTTAGAGCAATTCTGTAAGTTGACCGCGGACGAGCAAGCTCGCGTGGCGGCCAAATTCGAGAAGCGTCCAGAGTTTGTACAGAACCAATTGCATACGCTTCG